GAGATGAGACTCTTGAATCAACGGCTGATATGGAGTTTTATAATGTGATGGACGGAGATCCGCGTGGTCCGCAGGATAGGTATGGCACACCCGCCCATTTTTCACTGAACCCCTTATTACCAATTAGGCGCTATTTATATTCTAATGTAATGCTGCAAATGCAGACATTGCGAGTAGTGTAGCATATTTTCCTTTTCTTGCTGTAGATTAGGATAATATACTTGATATTGCACGCGGATTCTGGTGTGATGTACCTAAATCCGACCGATGTTATTTTTCGATGATGGTCTTGTTGGACCAAGGTGTGCTTAATGAAAAAGAACTTCCAATTACCGATTTTCTTTTATAAAGTTTGCACAAATGATTTACAAATTTTTCAAAAAAGATACACGTCCAAATATACAACGGTAGTAGCTAGCTGGTAGTAGCGATAGTGTAGTGAAATGTGGTAGATGGTGGCTAGTACTTAATTAGTATGTTCCCCTGCAGTTCTTTTTTTCCTACTTCTCTTCCTCTATCGGGTTTCTTCCCTTAGTGCTTGCTCGGTCTCTCTCTTCTCTATGTTTTTTTTTGTTGCTTTACTTACTCTTAATTAAATAAATGAGGTCACCATTTACAAAATAAAAATCAATTTTTTAATTAAATCTTTTTATTTAAATCATTGTCACTCTTTATTTCAAACCATATCAGATAGATATTATTTTTATATAGTGTAAAGAATTTTATTTATAGGTTGGTCCTTTGTTTAAATTTTATTAGATTTCTGGGAAAAACAATTTGGCCACATTTTTTTATAGATGAGGGTCGCCAAATGTCAGGATCGGCCTTGATCTGATCATCCTCTCTCCTTAAACTCACCTCAACCATCCTCCCAACCCTTACACTCTGGGTTTTTTTTTTAGGATGGAAAAGGAGGGGAGGGGAGGGGAGTTGGGGTTCCAAGGAGTTTTCTTCCGTTTGCAAAACAATAAACAGTAGAGGGGGGAGGAAAAGGGAAGAAAGAAACACTGTGCAGCCTGCTCTTCCAAATTGGAGAGAAAGTGGAGGTGAGCTGATTTTTCATTTTTTGTTAATCCCACTCTCTCTCTCTCTCTCTCTCTCTCTCTCTCTCTCTCTCTCTCTCTCTCTCTCTCCCTCCCTCTCCCTCCTTTCTTTATTCGTTATTTTTTCTCAGCCAGAATCCATTTGGGCAAAAGACCTTGAAAGTAAATAACACAATCAGAATCACATCCTTGTAAAAGTGGATAGTTGGCGGCTCAAATGGGATTTTGGGTAGAGTTTTTTATTTAATATTATTAAGTATTGTTTTTATGGGATAATTATTAAGTAAATTCAATTAGAATTAGTATTAAGTATGGGAAAGATTTTGAACAGGTATATATATACTAAATGGATAAATGATACAGGCAAAGTAAAATCACGGTTATTTTTTTAAACATTGTATAATATAATATAATTTGAACATGTATATAAATACAAAACATTGTATAATAAAGTCTCTATTTTTAATTAATTGATGTGATTAAATCACGGTTTTAAAACAAAATACTCAGCCACTAATTTTTCCGGTACAATCTCTGGTGCGATTTAAAAGAAAGTACAAATTTAATTCACAAATCATAAGTTAATAGAATATTAACATACAATCAAATTATTTTACTATTATATAACTAATAAAATAATATATTAATCACAATTTCCAATACACACTTTCCTTCCCACTTTCCTCCATAAAACAACATTTTTCCTCCCAATTTCCTTCACCTCCAAATCTCACCTCCCCTCCTAATTTTCCTTCATCTCCCCTCCTTTTCCTTTTTTTTTTTTTGACAAAGGGGGATTTTATTGCACTTCAAACTGATCAGTTACAAAGAGGGGGGAACGAACCAACAATCTGGTTCCAACAAGAGGAAGCCAAAAGGCATCCGGTTACAAACAAAGCTATGTAAGACAAAATGCAGCAACAGAGAACAAAACACAGTCTGCAAGCAACCACCGGAAAGAGCAAAACCCTTGATTGAAAACAGATCATCAATAAACTCTCTTGCAAACAACCAATCAAAGTGCAACAAAACCACAAACAGCTTGTCCGATCATATCAAAATCCATGGTAGTTGAACATCATCACTCCATGTGCCGCCTCCTGGGGGAAAACTCATAGGCATTCATCACAATGAATCTAGGAACTAGACTGCATGGCGGTGGAAGAGGATATAACCAGATTGCTCCAAGCAGAAGAGGCAGAGGAGGCCGAGGCAGAGAGATTAGGTTCGAAGAAGAGTAGAAGCTCCCAAGGTAGCCACAAACCTCCACGAAAACACCGAATCCCAACCACAACCACCGGAGAAGACCCTACCCACCACCATCCGACAGCTCACCAAGCCACTCAGACACCTTGGGAGGTCGGAGAGGGAAAGAAGGGAATGGCTTCACCTTGAAGATGAGGCCACCAACGGGGGACAACCCCACCATCCAGATCTGGAAGAGACTCCCAAGTTGCAGACTCCAGCTCCTACGACGAGCAAGCCCAAGACCAAGAACCTAGAACTGAAAGAAGAGTCATAGCTCGACTGGAAAGGATAAAACTGAAAGCCAGAAAGGCTGGAAATCCTATTTAAAACTGCCTAAGACATAGGCAAGAGCACCAAAGCATGATAAGGAAACAAAAGCAGGAAAATAAAAAGCTTTGGGCTACCGCCGGTCACCTAAAAGGAGCCGGCGGCAGCCCCCGGAATAAAAAAAGGAAGGCTGAAAGAAGAGAGAAGGCAGAGCAAATTTTAAAAGGGAAAGGTAGAGAGAGAAAAAATTTTACTTTGTAATAGAAGAGTCCCCCTCATTTTCCTTCCTTCCTTCAGAAACATAGTGTTACTCTCCCAAATGATCTTCCTTCCTCCCACAACCGGGCCCAATGCGGCGGCGACCAGTTATTTAAAGCCAATGTCGGCTTCCCCTATCCCTACTCTGGACCTACTTAGATCCCCTTTCTGAATTGTTTCCTTCTCCCTCTATTACGTCGTCGACTCTATCTTCAATAATGGAGGATTGTGACATAAGCAATGGAATATTGATGAATTCAGATGAAAGTTGTATTAAACAAACTAGAATCGTCGATTATTATTTGTAACTAAACTAATTGTAGGATATATTATTAAAATGATTAGAATCTATCAGCAATAACTCCTAGCACTCGGGTTGCACATAATTAACATCCTATCCAAAATATGTGTTGTTAATACCCGAACCATTTTATGTGAATATTATCAACTTTTAACGAACAAGTGCTTGGTCTAGTGTAGTGGTAATACCAGCGGCGGATCTAGGGCTGGGCCAACCCAGGCCACGGCCCAGCCCTCCTCCGGATCCAGAGCTAGTATAGTGCTTATAAATTTTTCAATTTTAGATATTTGGCCCAGTGCTATTTAAAAATTGGCTTAGTGTTATTTGATAATATGATTTTTTTTCAACTAAAAAATGGTCTATAGCTAGATGAACATATCCAAACCACTACAATAAATTTAGCGTAGAAAATCTAGCCCGAATGATTTTCATTTGAAAAAAAGAACAATAAAATTTAAAAGTCTATAATGTAAAAGACTAAGTATAAAGTTTCATTGAAATAAAAAAAAAATCCCTATAGACTAAAGTTCACCCTGTCAAAACTCAAAAAAAATTCTCCAATCCTCTCAAAACAAAAACAAGAACAAGAGACGAACGGATCCGAAATGGATTCCTACGCTAGCCCTTCGGGTGTTGGTTTTCTTTTCCAAATTGGCATTGTAATGAATGAAAATTAATAAAAAATAGTTATTACATATATTTTTCTGTTTATGGCATCCAATATTCCATTCAAATCGGACCCAGTGTTATACTATATCCTAGATCCGTCGCTGGGCAATACCACTAGTTTAAAACTTGGAGGTCCCAGGTTCGAATAATGACGACATTCACCTGGTTAGATTGGGAAAATATTCTAAGAAATATTGGTCAACAAAAGTTTCTAAAAGACAGAATAGGACATAAAAAATTTGTTCACATAAAGTTTTTTTCAAAAAAAAAAAAGGTAGCACACGAACAAGAGTTTGGCCTACTGATAATAATTCCAGTAGTACTTTAGAATTTAATCTATTAAAAAGTATAGTAATCACAAAAAAATAAATCTATATCACACTTATAAAAAAAATGAGGTAGCACCATAGGATATAAAATATATAAAGTATCTTAGCAAAATTCGTAGTGGACAATATAAGCTTAGTTTGGCCCTGCTGTAGCTTTTGCAGAAGCAGCTTCTGTTTTTTTTTTTTTTTTTGACAATAAAGAAGCAGCTTCTGGCTGGAGCTTTTAGATAAGTACTTTTCAAAAAAAGTAGTTTAGTGTTTGGCTGTAAAACTATTAAAAGTGCTTTTAATATGAGTGGTTGTGTAAAATGATTATAAAGGACTTATAATATAAAATATAAATAAAAATTCTAAACAATAAAAAGTAGTCAGAATGGATCTTGTTAAATTTCTTTTATATTAAATAATATGATTTTATTTTTTATTTTATTTTTAAAATGATATAAATGAAGGAAAATTATATTTTCTGAAATAAAATTAAAATATGGTAAGGATAATCTTGTATTTTCAAAACAGTTTTTCGCAGAAGCTCCAAATCGGAGCTTCTACTTTTATGTTACACAAAAGCGCTTTTTGACTTTTCAAAAGCCGAGCTTTTATAGGTGTTTGGCCCTGTTTCAGCTTTTAAAGCCGAAAAGTACTTCTAAAAACTGGGCCAAACATGGATATAATACTGATCGGCAGCCTCGTCCCACCTTCCTCTCTAAGTCTCGCTATTACGTTCTGTAGTGACGTAGAAGCCTCGAAGGTGACGTCTCGCTTTGGAAAAACCCATTCATCAGCCTCATCCCACCTTCGGACCTTCCTCTCTATAAATTGGGATTAGCTAGATAGCTCACACCACCACACACTCTCAGAAAAATCAAATCCAAATTTGGCTTTCCAATGACAACAAAACCCTCCTCCTTCAGGAAACCGCTGCCCGTTCCAACCCACAGCGGTTTTGTTTCCGCCAAGTTTGCTCCCACTCGCTGGGGAAATCACTTCCTCTCCGTCGACAACGATCTCATTGATCGTGACTTTCAGGTTTAATTATTTAGCATTGTAATTATAACTCTGATTGCTACTGGCCGGTATTAATCGTTAACCAAGTTGTATACGAACGTACATAAGCGAAGCGTCTTTCATAACAAAAATTAAATTAAATTAAGAGGTGCTATTAATGGTCATCCGACATGCTTATTTCGAAGTAAACTTCTTATTCTGGATAGGGATTAATAATCTTTGGAGGATGTTCTCTCTATTACTTGTTTTTTTAGTCCGTGTAATTGCCCTTTTGTTCCGCGGAATGGTAACAGTGTTGTTCATATAATAGTAAAACAATTTCTTTGGTCGAGAGTTCGGTTAAATATTTCTTAACATGTGTTGTTTGATCAGTCTAGTAGTTTGGTCTTTGTACAACATCCTCTGATATCTTGCCTTGAAAACAATAATCTTGTAAGGAGAATCAAAGGGGATGTTTAAATGTAAACAACTCTTCCTCTCTGAGACTAACTATAATAGAAAAATAAATGAGAATGAGAACATATTCAATTACCAAAACCAGTACATACTGTCCAATCATGATAGTCGTGACAACTATGCTTTGTTTTATGAATTTTAATTAATCATGGCAATTGGCAACAGATAGGACCAAAACACTCACTGTCATTGATACTTTATATTAAATAACAGTTTCACTTATATAAGTGATTAAGTAGTAACACAAATTTTTTTGCTTTTTTGCTTTTATGAATACAATTTTTTTATTTAAGATAAGTATAGTAGCACATGGATATAGAACTTACAAAGAAGGTGTATTAATGGAATGAAAGAAATATGCTTATGTCACCAACAATTTCATGTTCGTCTCTTCCAAAACCCACCAGATTTGGCCACCTTCGTCAACCTTGATGTTTCAGGGTACAGCTCTTCCACCTGCGCTCCAGAGCGAATATGAAATTTTGAAGCGAGATGTGAGGAAGATGGTGATAGCAGCTGGAAGTAGAGACGAGGAATCGGTAAAGCACAAACTCCGGCTGATAGATCAGGTACAGCGATTAGGCGTTGGATATCATTTCGAGAGCGAGATCGAGGATGCTCTGGGCGAAGTTCTTGCTCTTGGAGAGGAATTCATCGACAAGAACGATCTCTACCATGTGACTCTACGGTTCCGGCTTCTCAGACAACAAGGGTTTCATGTTTCTCCAGGTAATTTGCAAATCACATACATTTGTTTTAACGATGGTAATTTGCAAAATAATAGGGTTTTTATGTATATATGGCGACACAGATGGTTTGAAAGAGTTCAAGGACAGTGAAGGGAACTTCAAAAGCTCACTGGTGTCTGATGAACATGGCGTGCTGAGCCTCTACGAAGCAGCCCATCTGGCAGTCCACGGAGAAGATATATTGGACGAAGCCTTGGCCTTTGCAACTGAGACACTGGGGGCCATTATCTATCGGGAGAACTTTTGGGTCCATAAGCAAGTCAACTTCTCACTAAGCCTCCCGATATGGAAATGTGATCCTAGAACACTGGCAAGAAGCTACATCGATATTATCTCTGAGCACGACGAAAGTCACGAAACTTTCCCCAATAACGAACTTTTGCGGTTCGCAAAGTTGGACTTCAACGTGTTGCAGAAATGCCATCAACGGGAGCTCTGCCATCTCTTCAAGTGAGTTGGCTAGGTTAAGTTCTTACTTATTCCGGGTTTTTTTTTAATGTTAACGCGAGCGAGGTTACCCACAATTAGTAAAATAACGATACGAATCAATTATGAATAAAATACGATACATAGATACTTTACTTCGTCTCTAAAACAAATGATACTGTTTTATAGTACGTTAATAGTAATAGAATATATGAAATTACTTATTTTGAAAGCATATTAATATATAAATTATATTTAATTTATTTCACTAAATACAACTATTGAACGATTTATATGAGTTCCGTACGTTTTTAAAACGGTTTGACGATGATACAAAACTAGAGTTGTTAAACACGTAAAATATACGCATGAAAATGTACGCATATTAAACGAAATACTTATTAACTATCATATTGAGCTTCAATCGTTGTTTTTCTCCAACAACTTGGACTGTGAATTGACATTTATTGATAGCTTTCTAAACAAACATGTATGAAATAATGAAGGTTGATTTAATATGTTATTAGGTGGTGGGGATGTCTTGAGGTGCCGACTAGATTCCCATATGCAAGAGACAGAATTATGGAGTGCTATTATTGGATCAACTCTGTTTACTATGAGCAGAAGTTCCATTCAGCAAGGATCATACTCACCAAGATCCGAGCAGTTGTGTCTCTGATAGACGATACTTTTCATAATTTTGGCAAATACGAAGATCTTGAAATCCTCACAAAAGCTATTCGAAGGTCAGCTTGAAATCGTGTTTTCTTTTTTCTCGTTAATATGTTTTTTTGGGTGATTGCATGTCCAGTCACTCAATTTATCAATTTGTTTCACGATTATCACTCAATTAAGTTTAAAATTAGTAATGAATACAAATAATTTGTTTTAATGACAAGCATGAAATAAATTGATAAATCAAATTATCAAAATTGTAATCGCCCCAAATTTTGGTGGTATTTATATATACTATATGCAAGAATTATAGCTATTAACTGAATTTTTAATAAATGAAACTTAAATTGCAATCTTTTAAGCTGGTTTAAGTGATTTTTCAAGGTTTGATATAAGTGCTATTGAGGAATTGCCTGAAAAAATGAAGGAAATATACCGTGTCATGATAAACCTGTATGATGACATTGAAGTGGAAGTCGGCAACAATGGATCGTCTTTCGGAGTTGATTATGCTAAAGAAGAGGTAATTAACGAGATTTGTGTTTTATCAATTTACGAATGATATTTGAGAGTTTTATTTCGGAAGCGAACTTCGATGAATATGCTAGCTTCAATAGCTACATGTTTTCTTCTCTAGGATCACTCGAAAACATAAGCTAGCATAAGAAAACTTACGTTAATATGATTATTGGATGCTAAAGCGAAAGCATGTTTGTTAATTTTTCATATAATGTTCCCATACTAGTTGAAGAAACTTTGTGAGTTATACTTGGTTGAGGTAAGTTGGCGCGACGACCGCCGAATTCCAACAATGGAGGAGTATATGATGGTTTCCTATCAGACTTCCGGTTATCCGATGCTCTGCACATCTGCATTCCTTGGAATGGGAGTAGAAACTGCAACGGAACACGCCTTTGAATGGGTAACGAGTTTTCCCAAGATGGTTAAAGCCATTAGCATTATTGGCAGGCTTCAAAACGACCTCGTTTCTCCCAGGGTAATTGTTCAACTCAATGCTCATCCATATTTCTTAATTTATGAATGTGGCTCTCTAACTGATTAACTAACATAATTATTGCCATTACGTAGTACGAGCTGAATAGAAAGTATGTGCCATCAGCGGTGGAATGTTACATGGCTGAGAATGGGTGTCCGAAAAAAGAGGCTATGGATTTCTTGTGGGGGGAGATTTCGAAAGCTTGGAAAGACATCGCTGAAGAGATCCACAAACCGACCCCTTTGCCAGTAATTCTCACCGACCGGGTTCTCAACTTTGGGCGCTCAAACAGTATCATGTATGGGTTTGACAAAGACTGTTACACCGACTCGTATATGTTGCAGGAACATCTTGGCTTGTTGTTTGTACATCCTATGGAAATTTGAATTCGTCATGAAAAAACTTAAGTGTTACGATCTTGCTTATGATGTGCACAATGGAGGAGTGTGAAATAAGATTGCAATTTTCATGTCTTTTTTTGTTTTTTGTTTGTGGATTTCTAGCTTATTTTTTGTTTGAGTAGTCTTGCCTTGTGGACTTGCAACCTTATTAATAAGACTATTCCTGGACTTGCAACCTTATTAATAACATGCAATGTCACTCATCGCATGTTATTTGTTGGCTCAAGATTGGTTGTTGGTTTTACTCATATATACTGTAAAGCGTATAAAATCACGAACTAGATATTGAAAGACAGTCTTGTCTTCTCTACGATATGAATGATTTAACTCATCCAACTCTCTATTTATCGTTTTCGGAGATGAGGACATGAGTCATTCTATTGACAGTCGACTTTCTCCCTCCCCGGCATAATCCTTTGTAACTTTATTCTCCCTACACATTCTTTCACTTTGAACATTGATGATGAAACAACTTACGCAATTCATGCCCAGAAAAACAGCCTTCATACGAACTTTGAGCTTCTACAAAAAGATCTCCTAGCTTGATATAGAATCAGCCAATTCCTTCACGTTCTTTAGAAAGTGTTATACTTTCATCTCCAACTCGAATATTTCTTAGACTATACTCCAATCTCCAGGAATAAGGCTCCAAAAATGGTACCTTAAACGCAGTTTCTGCCTTATCCAAAATCAGGCAGTTTTCCTGTTTCTCCATAGCAACTTGGAAGCTTTGGGAAATGACCTTAATGACTTGTTTCCGGACAAACAAGCCTTATAGCCTGTAGAGAAACACTTGATCTTCAAGTCCAAGCCTCCCTTTTGCATTTCCATTGAGCCAATTGTGAGCTATAGATTCCTAAAGTTGGCACCCTGAAACTGCTTTCAGACAACCAAATTTTCACCCTTCTTTGGCCAAGTGAGATAGCTTCTTCGCCAACCAACTGAGACTTGTAGATTCGGCCATTTTGGATCGTATAGAGACAGTAATTGTGAATAGAGACAATGGAATAAATATCAAAAGTTACATACCTCTTAGAACTTCTTCTTCCTCTAAATGGGAAGCTTTAATGTAGAAAAATGAAGAAGAAGAATCATGAAAAGCACACCCATCTTATTTATTAAGCTAAAAACTCCATAAGGCAAGACTTAAACAAAAGAAGCTAGAAATCGACACAAATTTAAAGTCTTGTAAAATTACAATCTTATTTTATTCTCCATCATTGTGCAAGGCAGGACGCACACATATAGCAGTTCGTTTAGATTGGACAGTCTTCACAAGTTCAGAGGATGTACGAATAACAAGGCGAGATGTACCTGCAACGTATTGTTGGAAAATCAGAATACGGTGGAAATTGTTGTGTATTATTACTAAACCATATGGGGTTTATATAGAGTAAAAAGACAGACTTCTATAACAACCCTAACACTAATACGGAAGTTACATAACTTATATAACTCTGATAAGGAATATAACTCTAATCAATTACATAACAGTACTCGTAGTATAACATAATACTACTCGTACTACATATACTCTAATACCCTCCCCGACATTGATGGTAATTACTTACCAACAATTTGAAAACCGAAACAAAACCGACATAAATTACTACGAACCATTAGTGTGTGGTATATGATCCACGATTGAACCTCTCCCAACAACTCAAGTTATTGGGACCAATTGGTTTATGACACATATATGAATCGTTGTAGCAATCTTTGTCATTCCCATACATCCCGTTGTTTGAGTGTCCAAAGTTGAGAACCCGATCGGTGAGAATTACTGGCAAAGGATTCGGTTTGTGGATCTCTTCGGCAATGTCTTTCCAAGCTTTTGAAATCTCTCCCCACAAGAAATCCACAGCCTCTTCCTTTGAATACCTGTTCTCAACCATGTAACATTCCACTGATGATGGCGCATGCTTCCTCTTCTGCTCAAACTACGTTAATTAAGACAATAGTTGTTATTGTTAATCAGTTAGAGAACACATTCACAAATTAAGAAAATGGATGAGAGGGGAGTTTTAACTATTACCTTGTGAGAGACGATGTCGTTTTGAAGCCTACCGATAATGTTAATGGCTCTGATCATCTTGGGAAAACTCGTTACCCATTCGAAGGCTTGTTTTGTTGCTGTTTCTATTCCCATCTCGATGAATGCAGATGTGCAGAGCATCGGATAACCAGAAGTCTGGTAGGAAACCATCATGTACTCCTCCATTGTTGGAGTTCGGCCATCGTAATGCCACCTTACCTCACCCAAGTATGACTCACACAGTTTCTTCAACTATATTATGGGAACATTTTATGAAAAATTAACAAACATGCTTTCGCCTTAGCTTCCAATAATAATATTAATGTAAGTTTTCCTTGTGCTAACTTATGTTTTCGAGTGATCCTAGAGATAGCATGTAGTTTATTCAAGCTAGCATATTCATCGAAAACTAGATTCGAAATAAAAAAAATCTTAATCATTTGATAAATCGATAAAGATTAAACATATATTTTTAATTACCTCTTCCTTAGCATAATCAACAGCAAACGTCGGTCCATTTCTCCCGACTTCCACTTCAATGCCATCGTATAGGTTTACGATGACACGATATATTTCCTTCATTTTGAATTTCCATTTAATTTCCATCAAACTTAAAAATGCAATTTAACTTCCACTTCAAAAGCTATTTAAAGTATATATAATTTACCTGAAAAAATATTTTTTAAAAAATTATGATTTGAAGCTGACCTTTGAATAGCTTTTGTGAGGATTTCAACGTCTTCGTATTTACCATAGTTATCAAAAGTATCGTCTATGAGAGTCACAACTGCTAGGATCTTGGTGAGTATGCTCCTAGCTGAATGAAACTGCTCTGTATTTGTTTGGAACCCATTAGAGGAAGTTTTAATCTTACTGCCTCGGTTAGCTTACGCCGCTGGAGGTTAGTCGCCCGCCAGGTATTCAAACTGAAAGGGTCTGGAGCACTTTAGTCGAGACTCCAGACTGTTTGAGAACTTTCCGCGGTTTAAACATTAATCAAGTTAGTTTAGATGAATTACAACTTGGCCTAACTGCGATCCTGGGGGACTCATACCCGACTGAGCCTTCTTAACTTGAATCACAACTTTACTGCTTTTTGCTTGTTTATATTAGTTGCACCTTCACTATAGTTAAACAGCTAGATAACAAGAACGTCATGGAGTAGTCATCAAATCTAGGACCTGGGTTGACAAATAAAGCTAAACCTGCTATACTAACCATTAGTCTGTGGTTACACTTGGCCACTTTCTAATGTGACGGTACAGGCGAGTCAATTGTGAACGTAGGGAGCTTCATACTTCTTGGTGATTTCGTGATCTAGGATATTGTTTCTATTGTCTATCTCTCTCTTATCTTTGGTCGACCTTTCCTCGCTAGTGCTAAAGCGTTAATTGATGTTCATGATGGAAAGTTGATCTTGAGATTGGCCAATGAGCAAATTACCTTCTAGATATATGAAAAATCATGAAACATCCTTCTGAACATGATTATCTCTGTTATATGTTCGATGTCTTAGACTTTGATGTTCCAACATTGACATGGAAGTGTATGGTCACTACAAGAAAATACATCTTCAGTCACGGGATCTTTCTGTCACGGGTGGACTCCCATTACTTAAAGTAAATTATTATCACGGTTACATATCCCCGTGACCGCTAGCGATTTAACAAAAATCTGGGTAAACAACCCGTGACTATTGGCGGGCGGGAACCAAAAAACAAAAAATTTCACTTGGCGCGATATTCACAATTTTTTGTACCCTGCAAAATTTGAAGCAGCCCGCCATAAATTTTTGGCTTATTTTGACTTGTTCTTTCTAAAGCCAACTCACACTTGTTCTTTTTAAAGCATTCCCCTGCTGAGCCAAACTCTCTCAACCCCACGCCCTCCGTTATGCTATCTCTCTCTTTCCCCCTCTTCCGATTTGCCTCCTCACAGATTTCCCGATATTTAGGCTTACGATTTTCGCCGCAGCAAACTATGCCTCCAAACCCTTATCCCAGCGTCTTTCCCAAATTTCCACCGCCGAACGCCTAACCCCTCTCCATTTCTAGATCTCACTGCAGAACCCTCTTCCTAGATTCAATCGCTATCGGGCACCATCTCTAGTTCTTCGTTGCCATCAATCTTAGCGGGATACACCAACTCCACCGCATCTCGCTGATTTTCCCCCTGATGTTGAGATTTTTGGGCTCCAGCGAATGAGAAAGAAGACTACTCTTTCTCGAGCCCTCCTCCCCGACACATCGCATGGTCAGATCTTTGTGACTGTTTAAGTGGACTCTATTAATATGTTTATTGAGTTCTCTGTTTCTTGTGTGCTTTAATTGGACTCTATTGTAATGTCATCGAGTAATAAGGCTGGAGTGGAGGAAGAGGAACATAATAGCTCGGATTAGAAGGCATAATCAATTGCAGCAAACACCCATCAATTTTGCAGAAATGGCTATGGAAAATTCGAGCAATATTGATGGCCAAGACTTGATAACTCACTCTTTCATTGAATCAACAGCAAGCAGACGAGTGACATGGAAAAGTAGAAGGGGAATGAAACTTGTTGATGGTTCCACTGCTTAGTTAGAAGACTTCAATATAGAGAAGCATTTATTTTTAGTTTTTATGTTTCTGCATCTTTTGGCAGAGTTTTGCCATGGATTTACACTAAGGGAGTAGAATTTGTTTGTAATATTTACTGAATTCTTTTTATGTAAATACGATTATTACTAATTGATGAGTTATATTTGTTCTGTGTATTTTATATTGTATTAATAGTATTAGCATATAGTTGTGGTTTAGTCCTAACAATGGAATGAATAATTGGATTCAAAATTCCAAATTATTGTATTACCGCGACTAATATGAAAAATACAATAATCAATAACACAAACAATCATGGAAAATCTCATAGCAATCACATCTATTAATCACGGGGCCATCCGGTGATTGTAGC